AAAATGGCAGTAGTAAGACTTTATCTTAAAATGGATTAAATTACCCAATTAAGAGACACAGAATGGGAGCCAGTGCTGTGGTGTAGCGGGTAAAGCTGCTGCCTGCAGTGCCGGCATCCCACATGGACGCCGGTTCAAGTCCCTGCTGCTGCACTTCCGACCCAGCTCCCTGCTAAGGTGCCTGGGAAAGCAGCCGAGGATGGCCAAGTCGTTGGGCCCCAGCACCCACATGGGAGAGTCAGAAGCAGCTCCTGACTTTGGATAGGTTCAGCTCCAGCCATTGTGGCCATCTGGGGAGTGAACAGCAGATGGAGGACCTTTCTCTTTCTCTCAAATAAATACAATAAATCATCTTTAAAAAAAAATGGGGGCTGGCACTGTGGCACAGTGGGTTAAGCCTCTGCCTGCAGCACCAGCATCCCATGTGGGCACCAGTTCAAGTCCTGGCTGCTCCATTTCTGATCCAGCTCTTTGCTAATGTACCTAGGGAAAGCAGCGGAAGATGGCCCAAGTGCTTGGGTCCCTGCACCCAAGTGGGAGACCCAGAAGAGACTCCTGGCTTAGGTTTGGCCCAGCCCTGGCCATTATGGCCATCTGGGGAGTGAACCAGTAGTTAGGGAGATTTCTCTGTCTTTAACTCTGCCTTTCAGATAAATTTTTTAAGAAGATGCAGAGGAGTAGGTATTTAGCCTAGCAGTTAAGATGCCCACGTCTGGGGGCTGGCACTGTGGTGTAGCTGGTGAAGCTGCCGCCTGCAACGCTAGCATCAGTTCCAGTCCAGGCTGCTCTACTTCTGATCCAGCTCCCTGCTAATGCACCTGGGAAAGCAGTGGAGATGGCCCAAGGCCTCTGCTACCCATGTGGGAGTGAACCAGTAGGTGGAAGATCGTACTGTCTCTCCCTGTCTCCCTCCCTGACTCTGCTTTTGAAATAAATCTTTAAAAAGTGTAATGGTGTTAGAAGTTGGGGAGGAAGGAATGGGAATGGCACATGTAAGCAGCGCTGAGACCGCAGTGAGAAGTTCTCCGGCCGTGGGTAGCACTCCTGCGCTGTGTACTTTTCTAAAAAGGCGAGGGGGAGGCCCTGGCAGTGACTGCGGCAATCCAGGTGCGGCTGGGATGCCCACATCCCATGCCAGAGGCGCCTGTTCCAGCGTCCTCCTGATGCACACCTTGGGAGGTAGCAAATGGCTCAGGTAGTGGGTTCCTGCCACTCAGGTGAGAGGCCTGGATAAGTTCCTGGCTCCCCGACACTGGGGACGGAACCAGCAGAGGAGAACCACAGCTCCTGCAGTCTCTCTCCCTCTCACTTCAAAATAAATTAAAAAATTTGAATGTTTTCACCATAAAACGTTTGCGGAGACAGAAGCCTGTACTTTGCCCATTGTGCAACGTGTACCTGGATCGGAACAGCACTTGGTACCCTATAAATACGTACAGCTTTTTATGTCAAACTTTTTTTAAGCTTTAGAAATAAAACTCATAGACCCACTGAATCTTTCTCAGCACTTCATCTGTGTGGTTTAGAAAATGTGGACAAGAGCAGCCATGGCGGGGTGGCGGGGAGCCACGTGACACAGCTGAGGAGTCTACATTTTCGGGTGGTCTCATTAAAAAGCGGTAAAAAGCAACAGGTGAGATCCGTATCTTCATCCGGACCATTCCAAAGTATCGTTTCCACATGGAAGCAGGCTGAGACGCCTACCTGTGGTGGTCCGCACGCCGAGCCGGGACTGGCCGATGACGGGCCCGGAGCCGGTGGTGCACGGAGGCGCTCCCGAGGGTCACCGAGCGTCTGGGAGGGGGTTCCCTGGTCCCAGGACATTTGCAGAGGTCCTGGGGGGCTGAGGGCCGGGAAAGGCCAATTCTGATACCAAACACTGGCTCGGTCCACCCGCAGCTGCCTCTGGGGTCTCCTGATGGCCCCTCCCTGCCCGAGGCGCCTAGACCCCCAGGAGCAGGGTGCTGGTTCCCTGGCTCTTCCCGCCTCACTGACCCCGTCCCCCGTCCGTCCGGGACCTGGGGCCCAGCAGCCCGTTACTGGACTCGCCCTGTGGGCGGTTCTGGCGCTGACCTGCACCTGGAGATCCAGGCAGGCCCTGAGCCTTGTCCTCCGGAGAGAAGAGGTCCCTGGAGCCTGGGGTGCCGTGGAGGCCGCGATGGGGCGGCGGGGGGGGGGGGGGCTTTGTGTCCCTGTCCTGGGCCCTACAGGAGGGCTTGCTTCTCTACGCTCTCCCAGGAAACCCTCTGAATTCGCTCACTGCTGGCGTGCGGCGGCTCCCCATCCAGACCCTGCCTAGAGCTCGCTCAGGAAAACCCAGGAGCAGGACGAGGCCGTGCGCCGGCGCCCACCACACGCGGCCACCCCCACCCCCACCCCCACGTGGGCAGGGCCTGCTCCCGGCAAACACCGGCGAAGCAGAGTCGTGCAGAGTCGACCCTTCCCGGCCATTTTACCGTCATTGGTCAGGAAACCATTTTGACTTCGGTTAAGAACTTCACGGACCTCTCCATGCCGCTTACGACCACCGGGGACCCCTGCACCTGCTGTGGCCTCAGTGGGGGCGGGAGGAAGAGGAACACGCAGGCGCCCCGCCCCGCCCCGCCCCGTGGATGCCTCCGCAGGCTGCGGGGCACAGAGGGCCTCCAGGAGTAATTTCAGCCCCTGATCGCCCCCAGCTGCTCACTGAAAACTGAGTCCCGGTGGGCTGTGTCACTCCAAGGAGAAAAGAACGGGTAGTAGAATCGTGTGAGGTTGAACTTTTGCATTAGCCCAGCTTAGTTCAAAACGAATTTGTTCCAGGGCCTGAAGTCTTGCTAACTAAGGAGCGGGTGGTGGGGACAGGGGAGAACGTTTTGTTTTGCTGCTTTTCCTAACTCGTGTATTTGAAAGGCAAGAGACCCATTTCCTATCTGCTGGTTCACTCCGCAAACGCCTGCGGCAGCTGGGGCTGTGCCAAGCCACAGGCAGGAGCTGCATCCTGGTCTTCCACAGGGCAGCAGGGCCGCCTCCCAGGCTGTGCCAGCCGGAAGCTGGGGTCGGTATGGAACCCAGGCTGACGTGGGCGATTGACGGTGACAGGTGCCACGTGCCCCCGTTTCAGCAAGGCCTCCCCGAGCCGCCATTCTGCTCCCTTCCCAGCTCTGAAGGTTGGTCTTAGCACAGGAAACGTCACCCAAGGGTGCCTCACCACAGTGTTTGCTCGCCACAAGCTCAGGAGCGCGGTGGGGTCAGTAGGACGACCGCACACTTCCTTCCCACAGGTACTGTCACCAGGTCACGGGGACTGCAACACCGGCCTGGGGAACCCCACAGGAAGAACAGGACCAGAAACCAGCCAGAGAGCGAGGCCCGTAACTCGGCCGGTGCCCGACACACAGCTCGCTAACGCCGGCTCGTCTGCGTGTGCAGCCCGCGGGCAGGGCTGGGCGCAGGACGACACACAGCCAGTCGGCTCAGCGTGCAAGGATGGCCGGCCACTGAAGCCGTGGGAAGCGCCTGGGAACGCCCACAGCCACACACAGCCCAGAAAGTTTGGCAGGAAGCACTGACCAGGCCAAATTACAGGGGAGCGCACGAAGGAACCGCTGTGTCCCGCCACCGCCGTCAGCCTGCAGCTGCCTGCGTCACACCAAACACGCCCACAGTTCCCACGCGGACCCCAGGGGCGCCACGGTTGGGGACTTCCCAGGCCAGGAATGCTTCCGCCGGCTGGTGTGGCCGCAGATCTCCAGGATGCTCGCCCCCTCCTCACGGGTGTGGCCCAGGGCCCAGGGCGCTGAGGGCTCCAGCCAAGCGGAGGCGCCCCCTATGCACGTGGCCATTTCAACGCCAGATTCAGTTTCACGAGGCCTTGGAAAAGCACATTTTAATCTCGGCTCTTAGTGCACTTCCAATTCTACCTCCCCCTTCCTTGAGTCTCTGGTCTCGTGCACGGGGCAGGGGTGAGTCAGGCTGCCCCAGAGATGGGCGGAGGCGTGCTCCGACGGCTCCCCCGCCTTGGCTTCTGCGTTTTCCTTCAAATCGCCAAGCAAAAGCTGACTGGGGCGAGGGTCTTTCTGCGGGCAAAAGTGGAGCGCAGTGGGCGAGGCTCCGCTCCCGGGGTCCGGCGGCTCTGGCCAGGCCGGCGCTAGGGGGCGCCGCAGCTCGCGAGTCCCCTAAGTGGGGGGCGCCGCCGGCCTGGCCGCGGAGGCAAGCGGTGCCCCCGGCTACGGTCTTCTCACCCCCGCGCGCAGCACGGCGCAGAACAGGTCTTCCGGGGCTGCTGCGTGCCGACGGGGTGGGGCGTCCCTGCCGCGCCCTCCTCCTCGCTGGGTTCCGCGGCGCACGCAGAGCCACAGCTCTGCGAACCACGTGGAAGCCCGCCCGCCCGCCCGCCCGGCAGACTCCGGGCGCACACCCCGACCCGGCACTGCGCCCCGTCACGCCGCAAGCCCTTCCGCCTGAAGCACAGGCCCCAGCCAACCTTGCGCCGCTGAGCGCACACCGGGGCGCGCCGGGCCCGCGCTGCCCGCCCAGGCCTTTCGCAGCTACGCCGGCCGCGGGAGTCGGGGCCCCCTGAGAGCAAAGCAAGCTGTGCTCGGTGCCCCCTGGGTTCCGTGTCACACAAATATGCCACGAGCCTGCACGCGCCTGCCCAGCCAGCCCGCCGGAGGGGCTGGTGGGCCTGTCGCGGGGACACCGCAGGAGGCAGGGCCGAGGAAACCCCGCCTCGGCCCTGAGCGCCGGGGCTCCAGTTCTGCACCCTCTGCACCCTGCAGGCCTGCGGCTACTCCACCTCAAGCCAACCTGGTCTTCAGACCCCGCTTCCCGAAGCAGCTTCGGGGGCTCATGGCGTCTGCGGGTTGAAGATGCCTGTGCAGGTTAGAAGAACCCCATGGAAGTGCATTACGGGCGCCCGCGTTTCCGCTTCCAGTATCAAGGGAAGAGGCGCTCTGCCGGGACAGCAGAATCGTGACTCAGTTCACAAAACATTACATCAAGAAAGGAGGAGACTCAGGTCCCCTTTAAAATGCATGTTTTTATTGAAGTTTAAAAAAAATTTGCAACCAAAGAATAAAGTAGACCAGAATGTTTATAATCTGACTATATAATATTCTCTCATTCTTGGTGGACCACTAAAATATAACAGGATTGTTCTCTATGCTAATTTGAAGGTTGTCCAGTTGAACCATTATTTGGTATCCTTTGAATAGATTCACTCCTTAACTATTTAGAGTTTCTTCTCAGAAACATTCATATATTATACAGGGAACATTCATAGTTTATTTGGGCAACATTCATATTTTACACAGATGTACAAATTTGAGACAAGACAGTAAAAAAAAAATCACACAATCAGAGCCGCAACACTATCCTAGCTGCATTGTGGTGATTACGAGTTTAGTCAGCTGTCTGTTATTTACAACTGGACTTTCACCGTGCTATTTACAGAGGGCAAAGCACTCAGCTACAAGGTCAAGGCGCTCGGGTTTCATGTGCACTTTCACAGCCCCGTGAAAACACAACCATTATATACACTGTAAACACACAGGGCACGACATCCACCTCCCACCGCAAACACCCATCTCTCAGGATCAGGCATACGAGGTCCCAGGAAGGTGCTGGCCTCCCTTCCGGAGCACACTGTTCATCCAGGAGGCCGCTCCTCCCACAGGACATCATTCCATTATTTCAAATACGACGCCAACGCTCAAACATTCTGGAAGCCCTTTTTGGGGCCTGCCTGCAGTCTGCAGTGGGCTCTTCTGAGCATCCTTAATGGCGTGAGTCTTCCCCGTCCGAGGATGCACGGGTCTGGGGAGACACACAGTTATTCACAGCCAAGTGGACTGAGCCACGGGCACCGGCGCGGGTCACGTGTGAGGCGCCTCAGGAACGGGCCGGTTTTCTCGCAGGGCTTGCAGGTGGCGATTCGGAAAATGCCTGAGCAATGGCGGGCCCGACGGCGGGGCTCCCTAGAGCAGTGCCTAGGTAGGTGCTCTGCGGCTTTACGAACCGGTCCTGCTGCCGCCTCTCGGGCCTTCAGTATTCCTCCTCGGCTTCCGTCCCCTTTGCTTTCTTGTGAATTGCCCGGTTGAAGCTGTGGCAGGCAGGGACCCAGTGATTGTCGTGAAGCCCCAGCTTACAGCCAGGGAAGCCCTTCTGAGACCGGTGGCAGCACATCCAATACCCTGGCCCATAGGGCAAGGCCTGGCAGTAGGGCTTGGGGTGCCAGCGGCACAGGGACACGTCCCCTTTCACGTACTTCTTCTTGCACTGCTTGCAGGGATCCTCTCTGTAGCGTGGGTCTCGAACCCAGCGAGAGTCTGCTGGCCTGATGTTGTAGTACTCGATGATAAACTTGAAATAGCAGCAGGTACACTTAAGAGCCACTAAACTCCTGGTGGGAAGCAACCTGAAGATTTTCACCATAATGTGGTGGGGCAGGAAAGCCATGTACTGCTGAGGCTCCAGAAGCTGCTGGATTTTGAACCTGGCCTCCAGAAAGTCACGGGACACCTGCTTCTTGCAGGCGGAGGCCTCCGGGGCCGGCGGCGCAGTCTGCAGCGGAGAGGCCGGGGGCTCGCCCGCCGTGGCGGGAGCAGGCGCTCGGGCAGTGGCTTCCGGCCGGCGGGCCTCCGATGGCTCTCGTGCTGTGCTTTCACTCAGGGAGCCGCAGTGTGACTGGTGCTGAGCAGGTGGCAAAAAGAACAGCATCCCTGGAAGGGGGTCTTCACGGGCGGCAGGCGAAGGCTGGCGCGTCTCCACCGTGGCCACGGTGACGCTAACGCACGGAGACTCCCTCCTTCTCGGCTCAGGGCTCTGACGGCTAAGGGGCACGAGCTCGCCACTCACACACCCAGCAGCGGCTCGGGGCAGCTCAGCGGCCTGGGGACAGGTGTGGGAAGGGAAGGGAGACCTCGCCAGTTCCTCTGTCATTTCCACATCACACCTGTCGCTGTTCTTCACAGCACTCGGCTGACCTGGCTCTGATCCCACGCTGGCGGGCGCCGAGGGACAGCCTGGAGGGGCGCAGTCCCAGGCCTGGTCGCCCCGGGGGGAACAATGGCCAGCTCTCGAGGGGCCGCAGTCCACAGACACAGACCGCGCAGGCGTCAGCTGAGTGCCGGGTGCTCCCGGGGCACTTCCGTCTGTCTTGTCTTGGTCCGCCTGGGCACCGTTTGCAAGCAGCACCCTGCCCACATTCCGACGGAAGCTGTTGTTCCTCGAGAGGCTGCCGGGCTCCCGCTGGCTCTGCTGCTTCAAGCACTCAGACTCCAGCCTGGCGACCATGTCAAGGACACGGACTGGTTCGCTCTGTGATTCGCTAACCTCGGGATGTGCCTTTTCCGCGGGTTCTTCACAAGCTCCCGGGGCAGAGCAGGGCTCGGGTGCGGGGGCCCCGGCTCTGGCTGGGCCGGAAAGCCTCACGAGGGCAGAGGAGTTGGCGCAGGTCTTCGCGCAGCTGGCCAGCAGGGCACTGGCTCTCTGCTCCAGCAAGGCCACCATCTGGATAACCGACAGCGGCCTCCCGGCGTACACTCCGTCCCCAGCATCGCTCACGTAATGCACAGAGCAGTGCTCGATGCCACACGCAAAAGGCTCGGGTTGGCAGCTCTTGCCGTTGCCGTCCCTCATCCTATCTAACTGGATCTTGGCTTTTTTAAGATCCCCTGACTTTTTCCTTCTTTTGGTAGCTCTCCCGTCAATATCCCAGGAGCTTTTGATTTTCATCGATCCTACCCTACTGCTACACTGGTGGGCCGCAAAGAAGGCGATTTTCTCCTTGGTATTTCCAGGTTTCACGACAGCCCAGATATCAAGCGGCCCGCCCCCGTCCTCACCCTGGTGGATCGTGGCCGACGCGGCATTCTTCTTGGCCGTGACCTTCAAGCTCTCCAGCGGGTTCTTCCCACTCATGCTGCACAGAACATTTGGAGAAAGGACCCCGAAAGCCTTGCGAGATGAGGCTTTAGCCAGAGAGGCCGAGGGGAGGCAGACCGGGCGCATGCAGCTGGCTGCAGGCTCCTCATGCGCAGCCTTCCGCTGGCTCGTGCGGCCCTCGGGGTCTCCCTGCTGACTCCCAGAGGGCACTCCTTCTCCTGGAGCTTCCAGCGCGGCTTTCGGTGCATACCACGGACACTGAAGGAAAGAAATACACATTTGATTAATAAACCAATTTTGCTTTGAGGAAAGTTTTTTTTTTATCTCAAGCTCAGGAAGTTCAAGCAAATAACAGTATTTTCTACATGTTCACTAAATCTTTTTTTTCTTTCTTTTTATTTGACAGGTAGAGTTATATACAGTGAGAGAGAGACAGAGAGAAAGGTCTTCCTTCTGTTGGTTCACTCCCCAAATGGCTGCTACAGCTGGTGCGCTGCGCCTATCTGAAGCCAGGACCCAGGTGCTTCCTCCTGGTCTCCCACGCGGGTGCAGGGCCCAAGCACTTGGGCCATCCTCCACTGTCCTCCCAGGCCACAGCAGAGAGCTGAATTGGAAGAGGAGCAACCGGGACTAGAACCCAGTGCCCATATGGGATGCCAGCTCCGCAGGCGGAGGATTAACCAAGTGAGCCACGGTGCCGGCCCCACGTTCACTAAATCTTTATGAACTCTCTCATTCCAGCTAGCTTTAATGTACAGATCAAGAACAAAAGCAATATAATCACTTTCAGCGTCGTACAGGGAAGAATATAAATTGATTTTCAATGATGAATTCCAGAAACTGACGTTAACATTCTATACATTAAAATAATTCTTTAAATTAAATTTACTGAAAACATCCAAGTATTAGGCATATAAGCGATGGGGAAAAGTATAAAAACAACTCCTCCACAGTCCTGACTTTCTAAGTATTTCTTTCTAGATCATTACAACCAGCATTTCATTATTTACAAAACAGTTCACCAAAGTTACTGCACTGCTCTACCTAGTGTTAAATTATAATCTGGAGGCAGCCATGAATTTGCCTAAACCAGTGGAGTCAATCGCGGTGAAGGAGCCGGTTTATCGATTATGCATCGACACCACCACACCAAGCTGCAACCAACCGACTCACTGCAGCGCGTTCAGGTGTGTTCTGGGCCTGGCTCCCTGCCGACTTCCACCAATGCCGTCTGACGCACGGCTCGTTGAGTTCTCAGAAGCTACTCTGTTCCAGGAGCTGCCCAATTCACAATTTTTTTTTTTTTAGTCTTGATTTTCTAAACGCTTAGCAGTCATGCTTCCAGCAGTCACTAAAATCAAAGCCAGAAACATTTTCAAGTAGCTCAGGAAACAGGGATCTGTTTTATTCCCTGGCAGAGGTTGGATCTGGGAGCCATTTCAGAAATAAGACGTGAAGATTACATGACAGAGACTTGTGTGCTACAGTCCCTGCATCGCACAGACGAGCCAGACCAGGTGCTGCTTGGGCAAGTCACTTCCTCTCTGGGTCTGAGCTGAACTGTTAACTGAAGGGGTAAAATACGGTATCAAATGGTTATGTCAGTTTACACGTCAAAATGGCACACAGCTACCCAAAACATCTTGGACTAAGCCGACTGCTTTCTGGCGATGCCTGGTCTCCTGCAAATCGGCCTACAGTACCAAGCTAAAAGTGCATGGGAGGGTGGCAAAGGTCAGGCAGCTGCTGCGTTTGACCCACTTTCCTCCCCCTGGACACCAGGCCCAGGCTCCATGTTGGGTACTGAAGAGTTAAAATTGTATATGTACAGGTGTCAAAAGTTAAGCTTAAGCTTACAGGTTTAAACCTTCCTAGTGCAGCTGTAAAAATAAAACAGTGAAGTAGCACCTTGACAGTAGGGACTCCATTTTGGAGCACTTGAGACTGCATTCTGGGAAAGCAACCCCCCCACCGTGAGACTCTGGTCTGAAACTATGATCTCAAATAGTCAGACAATAGCAGTGCACTACATCACCCTTGGCAACGCACAAAAACCCCCTAGCATGATTGCTCAAGCTTAAAAGTAGAAAGGTTGCACCTGGGTTACCTGGGCTAATAATGAAGATGTGATTTGTCTATGTCTTAAGATCATAATTGCTGATTGTAAGACTTTAGCAACCGCTTAGCAACCGTGTATTCTCTTCCCCTTCCCGGTTTTGCGGTTTTTGCCTTTATAAACCCTAACCTTTGGTTATTCGGGGCTGCTCTGCTCATGATGATCAGACAGCCCCAGCATGCTGGATAATCAATAAAGCTTCCCCTTGCTGTTTTGCATAAGAGATGTCTCTTGGTGACGTTTTTCAGGCGGTCGACTCTAACATTTGGAGGCCCCAGCGAGATCGGGGCTGCCCGTGGATGCCGCCAACGGACATCTCTTGGGGTAAGTATAAAGGCGCCTAAGGTAGGGACTCAGTATATGCGCGCTTCAGGTTTCAGTTTTTCGGGTTACAGGCCTGTTTCGGTTTCAGTTTTTGGGTTGGCACGGTATGCACTGTGCCTGGAAGCCCCAGGCTACCACCTTGGGGGACACCCCGAGAGGACCGGGAGACTGAGGACGCTCAGCGAAACTCCCATCAGAAATTCCCCTAGGCGGGAGTTTTGTGCCAACAGCAGTTACATTTTAGGTTTCAGTTTTTTGGGGAATTGCTTTTCTGTTTGTAACATGGATCAAACTGTGTCCAAGCCGCTATCTCTTACTTTGGCTCACTGGCCTGATGTAGGGGCTAGGGGAATCTAATCTCTCTCTTCTGATTAAGAAGGTAAAGCAGCAGTCTTTCTGTGCCTCTGAATGGCCTGCTCTTGGAGTGGATTGGCCCCCCGGAGGGCTCATTCCATTTACCACTCATTCGCTGAGTGAAAGAGGCCATTCTCCTGCCTGGCCGTCATGGGCACCTGGACCGGGATTTTGAGAAGACATCGGAGGTCAGTATTCCTTCCCTCAAGCGGGACCGGATCTGTGGAAGTGACCGTTGAGTGTCCGGCACCCCACAGCTCTCCGAGAACGCGGAGTCCCCCCGGCCACGGCTTAGCTACGGTCGAAACTCCAGAGGGATTGTAAGGAACGGGAGGGAAATTAGGAAGGGCAGTTGGCTGAGAGCCTGGAGACCCCCTGAGCTCACTTCGGCTTCCCGGCGGCTGGACTGCGACCCGAGGACCAGGTCTCTCTCTCGGAGGGACGCCTGGTCACGCTGCCTACTGCTACGCGAGCAGGGCTTAGCTTCAGTCGAGGCTAATATTGGCCCTTCAGGTAAACTCAGACAACTAGGTAGTGGGTAACCTTAAGCGATAGGAGATTTCAAACCCCACTCAACCCCCATTGCTTTCTGCCTTCCTCCTCCTCCTGGGGGCTCCTTCCCCCACTCTTTTGCTCTCCTCATCTCCATTCCTATACCACTGGGCAGGAGAAAGGGAGAGGGAAATTCCACAAGTCTCTCCACCTAGGGAAAAGCTGTTACCTGTTACCTGTTAACCCTTTCCAACCTGGTAGAAAGTTTTCCGTCTTTACAGCTTATGGTAGCTCTGGTGCGTCTTAAAGTTTTTTGTGAACTATTACTGTTGCTAAGCTTTGATTGCCTAAGTACTAAATCTGGAAAAGAGCTAAAGTTAACTATCTGTTGTAATTGACTGAGTGTCTGCAGTAGTCCTAATTGATCTGGCTTTGGTTAAATTGTAGGAGGTTCCCAACACTCTTGCTAAAACGGCGCACCTACCCAACGCCACAGTTAGTCCTGCCAAGCCCTGGTGTGAGCAGTCTTCCCTGTAAATGGGGGACCACAGCCTTTCTCTGCACTCTATTCTAGTCCATGTGGCCTGGTGCATCCAGGCAGGCATAGCCAAATATCTCTAGGCAGAGCGCCCAACCCAGAGCTGCTTCTTTTTCCTCTCCTGGAGGAATTTCCAATTCAATACTACTGCTGGCCTTACCTAAGGGAGCCAGAACCTTAAGCCATTAACCCTTTCCAACTTGATGGGTTTTTCTCTTTGCAGCTAATGAAAACCTAAACAATGGGTTCATATGCTGATAATCAGCTCTTTTCTGTGCTGCTGTCCCTGACTCATCTGAGAGCGTTCACCTGTCTTGAAGGTTTCGCGTTTTTCTATTGCGATTAGAGTCTTGATTGGAAAAACTACAATACGAAGTTGTTTACATTGTTTATCTGTTTTTAATGTCTGAGTGATTACCCAACTGATCAGAAATGTACTAATTTTGGCTAAATGGTTTGACTCTCTGACAGCTTAAATTCTAAACCGAGTCTTCCAACTTTGGGCTTCCAGTTGGATCCCTGGAACTCTCAAAGGATGAGACTCTAAATTTGTTAAAGTAACAGCTGCTTGGGTCAATTCAGATTATATAAAATATATTAAAATGTTATAAATGGTGTCAGACCTATGCTGTATTTATGTTTTTGCTTTCCAGCTAAAGTGGTCTTATAAAAATAAGAGTGAATTCTGTGTATACAAGCCTTTATGTTGTTAACTAAAGTAAGCCAATGCAGATTGGTTCAAAAAATTGAGGTAATGCAAACGCCCTTCGGTTTGCTCAGTGGCTTGCTTGCTCAGTTTTACATGTCTTTAATATGCTTTAAACTTATTTCTCTTAATGATAAAGATCTTTTCAAAGTTGTAAACATGCACTAGGGTTTGCTGTCCAGGAGGTGTTATCCTCATGTTACTTAAAAACATAAAAATGTAATTTTAACTTTTATTTCAGATAATGGTGTGGTATTCATTAACAACTCAGTGTCTTAAGTCATCTAGGCATCAGTGCTAAGTAAAACTTGGAAAAATATATATACTTTTAACATCTCAAATTCAATAAAAAAAAACTGTTTAAGTTTGTGTCGCTCCCCCTCTTCGTGGAGGAACGACACAGGACCCTGCGCTGTTCTTTCGTCTGCTCGGCCCTCCCCGGGTTTGCTGCTGGTTCTTCCCGGGTTGGCTACTGTCCCTTCCACCTCCGTGGAAGGGCGGTTCCCCCTGCCACATTCCCCACTTCCGCAGGGGAGCGGCACACCGCCGGCCGGCTCTCCCGGGGGCTGCACAGGTGTTCCCCTTAGATGTTCCTGGTGCATGCCGTCTCTCTCCTCCTATATAGTCCTCCTCCGCCAATCCCAACTCGGCTGCCCACACGCCGAGTACGCCGAGTACGCTGCTCTCCTCCAATCAGGAGCAGGATCAGCTCCTGGAGGTCACTC